TCTCTCTCTCTCCTGGAGCAGGAGTGTGGAGCTCTGCTCTAGAGAGGTGTGTCAGTGATGGAGGGGTCTTTGTCTTTCTGTCTCTTCAGGATGGGGAGCCAGACCTGAGCTTCTTCTCGGTGGACTGTTTCCACTTCAGCGAGCGTGGCCATGCGGAGATGGCCATTGGGCTGTGGAATAACATGGTGAGACAGCCAGGGTCAGAGGGCAGGGTGAGAGTTCGTGTGTCCCTGAGTGAGAGGCTCTGAGAGGGCGTGAAGTGTGTGTAGTTAAGGGTGTTGTGTTGTTGTAGCTGGAGCCAGTGGGGAGGAAGCAGAACTTCAACAACTTCACACATGACCGGAACAAGATCCGCTGCCCCAGCCAGGTGAGACTCGACACACAAATACACACACTGATATTGACGCAAACATACACATGCACTGCTACACAAATACACACACTGATATTGACACAAACATACACATGCACTGCTATACAAATACACACACTGATACTGACATAAACATACAAACGCACTGCTACACAAATACACACCTGATATTGAAACAAACAAACACACACACTGCTACACACATACACACAGTGATACTGACAAAAACATACACATGCACTGATACACAAATACACACACTGATACTGACATAAACATACACACACACTAATAGACATACTCTGACACACAAATACACACTGATATACAGACTGAGACACAAATACTTACTGACACAGACACAATGATACACAAAGTGCACACAAAAATGACATACAGATTGATGCATGAATACACAAACTGTTACAAACCACACACCTACTAACTCTAAACACAGAATGATACACACAAAATAAGATACATATATGCACATAAACAGTAACATGCATAAGAACAAAAACATAATGTGATACTCACACATGCAAAGTAACACAAACTCACACAGATGAAAGCACACTGACACACAATTCTATAAGTGATGGAGACCGTAGAAGAGTGAGGCTGTATTGGAGTGACATTACAGAGGAGTAAATCTGTAGGGAGTGAGATTGAGATTATTGAGGCTGTAGGGAGTGAGATTGAGATTATTGAGTCTGTAGGGAGTGAGATTGAGATTATTGAGTCTGTAGGGAGTGAGATTGAGGTTATTGAGTCTGTAGGGAGTGGGATTGAGGTTATTGAGGCTGTAGAGAGTGGGATTGAGGTTATTGAGGCTGTAGGGAGAGATTGAGATTATTGAGGCTGTAGAGAGTGGGATTGAGGTTATTGA